TCTCTCTCTCCCCCCCCCCCCCCCTCTCTGTGTGTGTGTGTGTGTGTGTGTAGAATTGCTTAAATTGGGGCATTTCCTTGACAGCTTTGTTATCACCTGTGGCTTTGCACTTCAAAGATATCCCCTTTGATGGAAAGGTAATGTTTTTCTGTTAAACAATAAAATACTGGGCTTCCTTGTATAACAAAGAAAATTGCTCTTTAATTTGGGAATCATGGTCTATCCAGCATCAAGAGTTCAGGAGTATCTCAAACAACTCTCTTCAGAAACAGGATTCCTCCATAGCATAGGGAGAACTGCTACTTTCTGTAACAGTGCAATCCCATGCATGTCTGCTCAGAAGCAGAGATCTCACAGTTGGACATTTCATGAGTAATGATGGACAATCATGTTTAAATGAGTAAATACTTAACATTAAATAATAAATCTTTAGTGTGTTTTTTTTCAAACTTGCTTAGATTTCCCCCATAAATGGCAGCTCAGGACTGGACCTTTCCCTTCCCCACCCCACAGAAAATATATATTACCAAGCAGTTTGAACAGAACTTATAGGGGGAAAAATACAATACCCCATTATTGTGGAGAGACTATTTCAATTCTGTTTGTATCTTGCAGTGGAAGAACATTTATCAGCACCGGATTTATTGAAGATAGTAAATGTGCAGGTGGATTTTTGATCTTGTTGGCTCAACTTCCTGATGTTACTTGGACATGACTGCCAGTGGTGCAGCAAGCGCTGAAACTCTGCACTTGCTCCTCACAAATGAGGGGATGGAGCAGCAGTGCTAGATATGTCCAACATCTGGGCTAGTACAGGCATGTGGGGGCTGCTGGGGAGACATCTGCTCTCTGCCGCTTCCTTCCTTTATCCACACACACACACACACACACACACACACAGAGTTGGGGTGGCTAGCCAGGCATGTACATGGTAATACATGCTTATTTTGGTATTTTATTTTAAACATACATTATCGTTTTCTGCATCAGAGTGCTGTCCAGCTAAATGTGTTTAGTACTGGGGCAGAAGAAGCAAACACTGCATGTTTTCATTCTCTCTCTCTCTCTCTCTCTCTCTCTCTCTCTCTCACACACACACACACACACACACACACACACACACACACACACAATACAGCAGGGGTCCCCACCCTTTTGGATAAATGGCACATTTGAGAATTTGAGAACTTGCTGTGGGTGATGCCATTATCAATCATTGCTTTGACAGACCTGTTAGGTCTGTGGATCTTAGGCATTTTCTTGATCAGCAAAAAATGTTTAGATCATGCCTGTTGGACACTAAAGCATCTCTTTCTTTAATAAGGGGCTCTAATCCAGCTAATCACTATATAAGCCACCTTGCGTTCCTCATGAGAGGAAAAAAGACAGGCTATAAATGCATAATAAGACTAATAATGCTAATAATTGCTGACGGCATCAGGCAGCTAATGCTTCTTTTAAACATATGCTTTTGGAAGTCCAGTCGTAGCTCCTTTTTGAGGGGAGGAGATTACATAGATACATTTTGTATTGGAACAATCTTAAATATTCACCAATGTGCATGCACTTCTAAATTACTTACATGTTTCATGAAAATTAAGAAATAGTGAAAATGGATTTTCTGTACCCATTTGACAGCTCAAGTACTGATATCACAACACTGGAAGGATAAACATTCACTTCCTGTAATGCAGTGAATTAATGTCCTTATAACATTTTTCGGTGTTTGAACAGGTGGGCACCTTCAAATGGGTACTTATGAAGCCAACTGGCCTACTTCTGTTGAAACATGTGCATGATTGATAGAAATCCATGCAAGTGCATGAATTTCAAACCAATGCAAGTGTATATACTAAACCACCAGAACAACTTTTTAAAATTGTTTTTTCAGGTGCCTGCAGGCATCCTGGAGTGAGTCTCTTGATGGACACCAGTGCAGGTTCCATGGCACCCACAAGTGCCATGTTGGTGTCCTCTGGATAAAGCATGTCACTCTCTTCTGTGTACTGTACCATGAACTGAGAGGTTTGAACAACACCAGCATACATGTAATATGAACGTAGTCTGTTTCACACACACTGGACATGTGGCTCCAGAGCATATTCATGAACCCACACAGGCCTTGGACATACAGGAGTCCAGCCCTATTCAGGCATGCTGCACCTGATGAGGGGGAGCAGGTGAGGGGGGAGCACTCCAGTCCTGTCCCCCTCCTTGGTCGCGTTCGCTGTCCTCGGCTCATGGAGGACAATTGCCTGGTCTGGGCAGCCAGAACACAGATTTCCAAGAGCATCTCCTCTTCGGACAGTCGCCCTCATAGAGTTCCAGGCAACACAGTGAAAGAGAGGGGTGCAGCTGGGGCACCCCCTCTCTTTGTGTGTTTGTCCTGTGCAGAGGCTTTTGTGGACAGGCTTATCATTTCAAGAACATAATGCAATCCCTTTACAAACTGAGTTAATTACCTTTATCAATTTCACTTTCAAAAGACAATTTCCTTCTTCGGAGTTTGCTGTTGTTACCATCGGATTCATTGGTTGTTTGTGGTCTTATTGCAAGATCAGCCTTGATAAATGAGATAGCCATAGATTAAAAATTAGATGTATTTTATTTTACACATTTATTCATGAGTTTACTTTGGGTTGGGTCCTGCCTTCCCCTGCATGAAAGGAAGGGCTCTTCCCATCCAGAAGCTTTTTGATCTAGTGAAAGGATCCCATGTTGGAAAGAGGGCAGACAACTTAATTTCCCCTTGGCTTGCACTCATCAGCAGCATTTTGCAGCAGAGTTGGAGAGACAGCAGGAAAGTGGGAAAAGCAGCAAATGGCTCCTCTCACACTCCTTGTTGGTGGCACTAACCCATAGATTTTTTTTTCTTTTACGCGAAAGAAAAATCAAGCCTTTTCTGGATAAGACTCACAATTTTAATTACATGTGTATGTACTGAAGAGTAGATGAGTCTGAAAGAAGAAAGTTAATGTGAGAGTGTGATTGTTAATTAAAGTGCCTTTCCTATCTCGCACTCAGAAGAATGATTTATGATTTTTCCTTTGAGCAGTGTGTTCTCCAAAAAAGCTTGGTGAAGAAAAAATGTGAAAACAACTCCTTATTTGATGTGTATTATTGCAGACAGCAATGTAGTAGCTGATTATAATTAGCTATGATGTTTAATTACACAATAATGGTGATAAATGTTGCCTTGCATAACAATAATGCTGGCAAATTATACATTCCTTTGTTTTAGCTTTCGAGCTCTTCCTTCTTTGATTTGGCTGAAATGAGTGATTATTTACATAGCTGAAGCTAGATTTTCTTTTTTAAATTGCTATCCTGTGTTTGCTCTAAAGTTAGTTCTTTCTGCCAGTTTGTCCATACAAACAAGGAACAGCATAATGGGAAATTAAGTGCTGATCCCACCCCACCCCAGGCAAGAGGTAGGCCATAGCATTAAAGAGAACACCGACTTACAGAAGCCCCACAAGAGATATATGTTAGTGGGATGTCCCGTTTCAGACTGCATCCAGTGTCTCTCTGCTCGGCCCTTGTAGCTCCCGGGCAGAGCGCCTGTTCACAGGTTTGATCCCAGGCATCCCCAGGTAGGGCAGGAAAAACTCCCGCCAAAAATACTGGAGAGCCACAGCCTATCAGGGGGACAATATGGGACTACTAGATGGTCTACTTCTGTATATTTTATAATTCCGAATCATAAAATAATGTCTACATGGGCGAAAGTAGCATTTCACAGAAAGGCGTATATGGTTGCTTTCTCCCTGATATGCTAGTTTTGTTAGGAAGCATTTTGTGTGAATAAACACTTAAATATCCAACTTCTCATTAGAATGGTATGCCTGGTGGCTTTCCATCTTCTGGGCAACTAGCAATGCCCAGACCATTAGTCTGGAGGAGGTGTGACCCTGCTGGTACTCCTGGATCTCTTGGCAGTTTTCAGTACCATTGACCACGGTGTCCTTCTAGGGAAGCTGGCTGAGTTTGGAGTAGGGGATACTGCCTAGTAGTGGTTCCACTCCTACTTGGATGAATGGCTTCAGAAAGTGGTGCTTGGGGGATATTGCATGGCCTCTTGGACTCCCCATTGTGGGGTTCCACAGGGGTCAGTCGTGTCTCCCATGCTATTTAACATCTAGATCAAACTAATAAGTGGGGTCATCCAGAGTTTTGGAGGGTGTTGATGGCATGCAGCTCTGTTTCTGCTTTTCATCTTCAGCAGGTGAGGCTGTGGATGAGCTAAACAGGTGTCTGGCTGTGACAAGGGACAGGATAGGGCTAAAAACTGAAGCTTAGTCCAGACAAGACTGAGATACTCTTAGTGGATGGTTCTTCTGACTAGATGGAGTGAGTTCAATGGCTTCTGGATGGGGTCACACATTCCTGAAGGAGCAGGTTCATACTTGGGGGTGATCTTGGAGATTTCTTTGTCACTTGAGGCCCAGGTGGACTCAGTGGCATGGAGTGCCTTCTACCAGCTTCAGCCGGTGGCCCAGTTATTCTCACGTATGGTCAGGGATAACATGGTTCAGTAATCTGTTTTGGTAGTCTTTTTGTCTCTGACTGCCAACTGTGAAGGAGGCTCAGTTGGTGGCCACAAGGAGCAGGGCCTTCTCAGTGGCAACCCCTTAGTTATGGAACAAGCCCTTTACTGAGGCCCATCTGCCACTAACCGCCCAAAACCTATTCAGCACTAGGTTAAGACAGTCCTATATGACAGAGTATTTAATTAGTTTTATATTATATTGGGGCACTGAACTGCTTAAAAGGCCTTGCGACTTTATTTGTGTAAGCTACTGCAGTTTTTAAAATTTTGGGTTTAAATTTGGCTTTTAAATCATTTTGAAAAGAGCAGCTATTTCCCTCCTTCCAAACAGCTCAAATGTCTTTCCAAAGGCCTAGTTACTGGCAGTAAAAGCTTGAAGTTATGGTGTGCTGGCATGCTTTTTATGTTGGGTCTCCTCCGCTTGTGCCCTGCCTACCTCCTTTGACTTTGGCCTACTCCACCCCCACCCCTGGGATGAAGCCACCGAGAGCTACTCTGAAGATGAATTTGGTTCTCAGGCTGAAAGAGCTTCCTCACCTCTGGTGCACAGGACAGCAGTCTAAGTCTGGAGAAACCAGTCTAGATTTAGACTAGGCACCTGGAAGAATTGCTGGCTGTCAGAGCAGTGCAACAATGGAACCCATTACCTGGGGAAGTTGTGGGTCCCCCTTGCTGGAGACGTTCAAAAAGCATTTGGACAGCCCTCTGAGTGGGATGGTGTAAACTGGTGACCTGAAACAGCAGGGGGTTGGACCTGATGGCCTTCTGGCCCCTTCCAACACTACTCTTCTATGACTTATTCAGTACAGTCTGACGTGACGGAACTTGGCCTAAGAAGTTCCAAAGCAATAAGATATTCCTTATCCCAGGGAGACAGTTTGACAGCTGGCTTGTAAGTTATGGTCAAGCTGAGGAAGTAATATTTGAAATCCTCTTTTGTTCCCTCACTCTTGCTGCTAATGCTGCTGCTAGCCTTTCCCAGCCTTTCTTTTGCTACTAGGTGAATGGGGCTCTAAAGTGAATTCTATTGAACTGGCACAGAGCCAGCCCAAAATATGTTTGTTTTGGTGCCTAATCCAGAAAAACCCAGTGCTGTATTGCTGGCCAAACAATACTTAATAATGAAATAATAAATAATTGTTAAAACACTAATAAAGCCATTTTCTGTTTATTAGCATCCAGTGCTTGCCACCAGAGGCAGCCATCTTGCTGTGCCTCATGGACCATCAGTCCAAGGATTGCAAGCCCTGGAGAGTGTGCCTAGAAGTTGATCAAATGGGGAAACAAGAAAGAGAACACTTCCTTGTATTTTTAATTAATTGTTTTCAAAACAGAAACTATAGGTGATAAGGAAAACATGTTTAGCAGGATAACTTTGGTAGCCCTTTAGCACTTACTCTTATTGAGCACTTGCACAGGTGCGTTTATCTGCATTTGTTAATACAAGTTAGCACTAATGGACATGAACTCATGAGGACTAGCACATTAATTAGTCTGCGAGTGTGCAGAATTGCACAATGGATTCCAAGAAACCCAATTTGAATCTGTTTTAGGGTTCTTCAGCATCCCTGTGTATATAACGGAGCTGTCACTGGGGTTTTCTAGTAGAATCTGCACAGCAATGCAGCTCCTGGGGTGTGGAGTAGGTTCACCTTGCAAGCACTTTAGCATCAGATCTGGAGGTACTTGCACAGATTAGAACCAGTGCAATCATAAAGACCAACTGGAGGGTATATAAAAGACCACTCAGGTCCTGCCTGGTTTTGCCACAGCAACATGGATCCTTTTGGGGTTGCTGTGTGTTCCTGATCTAGAGTCTGCCTTGAGTCCCGCAGCACTGTGCTCAATGTCTGCAGCCTTCCTCCAAGTGCCAACTCTGAAGGAAGTGTGGAGAGTGACAACTAGGGGAGGGCTTTCTCAGTGGTGACCCCCATCTATGGAATAACCTCCCCACTGTGGCCAGCTTGTCTTGTTTTTGATTATTTCATTTCATTTCATGTTTAAGTTTTTGTTATGGATTATTTATTTTAATCTAATTTTGGTTAATTTACTGGTTGTGCTTATTGGTATGTGTGGATATATTTTGTGATGTGATTATTTATTTATTTATTATTTTATTTGGTTATTGATTTTTATTGTTTTGTACATATGCATTTATCTTGTTTTAGCATTGTAAACTGCCCAGAGAACCTTCAGGTTATGAGTTGACATAAAAATGGAAGGAAGGAAGGAAGGAAGGAAGGAAGGAAGGAAGGAAGGAAGGAAGGAAGGTAGGTTAAGATAGCCCACTTTTCTGATGCTTTTATGGACTTACTTGACCACCCAGGGGGTTAAGGGGGATCACCACAGTTTGCAGAGTCACTCTGATTTATCATCTGTTTTAGTTGTTTTTAACCATGTCAAACATTTAAAAAGTTTTTCTGAGATTTTCTAATATTTTTATATTTGTTTAACCGATTGCATGAACTGCTCAGAGAGCTTCAGCTGTGGTACTATAGAAATGAAAACAACAACAACAATAACATATGATCAAGAGGCATTCTGCCATTAACTACAGTGGGACTGAATTCCAATTTCAAGACAATGTAAGTATTCTTTTCAAAATCTGAATCAAGATTTTGATTCCACATTTTTGAAAGCCACATTTTTCTATATTTTCCATCTTATTGTTATAATTGCTGTACTTTTTCCTGCCGGGATACTTTTACCCAACTACCATTTTTTAAAATGTTATGTTTCCATGACAAAGCACCAGATTTTTCAAGCCCTGCTGAGATGAACAAATTTAATCCAAAGGAGAAGTAGAAAATCACCAGCATTATTCCCTCCCCCCCTTTTTTTTGCTAATGTTTGCCATTCTAGATCATTTGTTTTTTTCTGATGAACAGATTTAGTTCCCATGCTGTCTTAATTTCCGCAATCTCAAAATATATTATTCACTAATGAAAGAAAATTCAAACATTCACATACTTTGGGGTTTTCATGTCTCAAATTGAAGGTGAGTTCTAGATTTGTGAGGAACAGGTCAGAAAATTCAGGGTACATATCCAAAACTTCTAATAAGTCTTCTCGTTGGATCTTATGCAAGTCACAATAGGTTAAAGCTCTCACATCTGCATTTGACTTCCCAGGTTTTGCATAAAGATGTACCATCTCTCCAAAAATATCATTTTTGCCTGCAGCAATAATTTTAAAAAAAAGACAGAGAAATTACATGACATTTGTACATGCCCTTCTTCCCACTAAAATAAAAAGCACAGCATAGTTCTCAAAAATGTTTAGAACCAGCTGCCACTTAATAAACAATTTTAGCTAAGTCTTCCTGGAAACCATGCATTCTGATCTATTGAAAGATGTGCAACCCAAATTTATTATTAGACTTATTCCACTTTATTTTTTAAAAAAAACCCTCAAAGCAATTCACATCCTTTGCCTCCTCCTTTCTCAATCTTATCCCCACAAAAACAACCCTGTAGGATAGGTTAGGCAAAGAGTGTGACTGGCCCAAAGCCACCCAGTTGGTTCCATGGCTGAGTGGGGGCTGGAACCCAGGTTGCTGGAGTCCCAGTCCTGTGCTCTTAACCACTGCACCACACTGGCGCTCAGGAAACTAAATTACATGCTGCAGTCTTTCCTAGATTGGATCATTCAGACTGGAGAATCTGCCCCCAGCTGAGACTAGCCAAAAATCAAACCAGAGTGTGGGTGAGGGAACCCTGCCTACCACTCTTTACCAAACCAACACCTGGCAACATCAAACCTTTTTTCTTTTATTTTCAGAAAACAACATCTGGAATGGAAGAGATCCTGAAGCGAAAGACTTATATTCCTCACATTTGACCGGAAACAGGCCTGGGAAGGCAACTGGTTCCCTTGCATCATTTCCTGCCACATCAATTGACCTTTGTGTGTTCTGCTGGGTGCCTGGTACTCATCTGTAGAGATTCCTGTAGACGTTTGATATAGCACTGCTATACGAACACTGAAGTTGAGGGCGTATCTTGTGGTGCAACAGAAAACTGCCATTAGTCATCTATGCAGCCTCGCAACCTCTCTGTTGTGGACAGGTATCATACCAGTTAAGGATGCACTTTCCACACTGATATGTCAGCTGTCATAAGTACAGGTTAGGGGACAAGTGGCTGGAGAGCAGCACTTGTGAAAGGGATCTCAGGGAGCTGGTTGACTGCAGGCTAAACATGAGTCAGCGGTGTGATGCGGTGGTCAAGAGGGCAAACGCCACCCTTGGTTGCATAGCCAGAAGTGTGGCTTCTAGATCAAGAGAGGTATTATTACCACTCTATGCGACTCTGGTGCACCCGCAACTGGAATACTGTGCTCAGTTTTGGGCCCCTCCTTACAGAAAGGATATAGCCAGGTTAGAGTCAGTGCAGCATAGGGCCACAAGGTTGGTGGCCGGTTTGCAGGGGATGGGGTATGAGGCGAGACTGAGGGAACTGGGTCTCTTCAGCCTGGAGAAGAGGAGACTCAGAGGGGATCTGTTGGCAACATACAGGTTTGTGAGGGGATGTCACACGGAGGTGGGTAGAGACCTGTTCTCCCCTGCAGAGGAAGGCAGGACGCACTCCAACGGAGCAAATCTCAGGGAACCAAGGTTCAATTTAGATGCCAGGAAGCACTTCCTGACAGTCAGGACCCTGAGGGTGTGGAATGGGCTTCCACGGGAGGTGGTTGAGGCCCCATTGGGGAGGGTGTTCAAAGATAGGCTGGACATGGACATGGTGGGCATGTTGTGAGGGGAGCCAGCTGGAGCTGGGGGTCAGACTAGATGGTCAGGGAGGACCCTTCTGACTCGCTCTCTTTCTACGTTTCTATGTGTTTGCCATGGTGCTAGTTCATAGGCAAGATATGATGCAATCATATTGCCAGTTTGCTTTGAGTGATACAAATGAATCACTGTGTCTTCTTGTTAGTTAGTCACAAATGACAGGGAAAGAACCTGGCTTTCTGTCTGTAGATGAAGATAATAATAGGCTTTGCTGGTGCATTTTTCTATTAAAGAAAGAAAGAAAGATGTCTTCTTCTTCTTCTTCTACTACTACTACTATTACTATTACTATTGTTGCTCCTGGCCTATTCCTGCCCTTGTGTGTGTTGAGCTCAGGAAATGGTGGTTGTGAGGAGCAGAAGGGGCTTTCAAGCCCTGCCTGTGGAGGATGTCTGCAGACTTGCAGAGGTAGGATCGTTTTTGCTTGGGCTACTTACTGGACTTGTTGGACTGCAGGTGCTGCAGTGCCATCTTTGTGCAGGTGCTGCGGTGTTCTCCACCAAATCTGCAGGGGGTGTGTCTTGTGATTGTGCGTGCTGGCGGCATATCCCTCTGCTTGTGAGTTCATGGAGTCCCACCATGTGGATACTTCTGGGCAGTGCTTTTTTTGTAATAAAAAAGGGTGCCGGAACTCATGTCCCTGCCAGCAGTAAGCACACATACCAATCTCAAGCCCAGCGGCCAGCGAGCAGCTATCTCTCACTATCAGATAGCAGACACAATAGCAGCCTGCAGGCACTATGTTAATGATGTTTGCTGCGGATCTGCTACAAATCCATTGAAAAAAAGGTGCCAGAACACTGTTCTGGTGCGTTCTATGACAAAAAAAGCCCTGCTTCTGGGTGACATTCTGCCACAGTCCCCAATTAGTGAGCACTGGGGGTGCTGGGGGGGGGGGAATCTTTCAATTTTATGCCATTTTAGTATTTGCAATTACGTGGGTTTTTTTTCCCCTATCAGTGGTTTAGCATGTGATGGATACAACAATAGTTCCACCAGCTTATCAGTCACATAATATGATTTAGGACTTCTCCATCAGGCTGAAAAGCTATACACACTTATATGTGTGTCCCGGGAGTATGTCCCGATGAAGCAATGCAGCTTATCTTACTTAACTTCAAAAATTCTAAAACTTTTGCAATTTACATTTACATTAACCTGACCCCCCCCCCAAAAAAAAATCTGTTTAAACACAGCAGTACCATCTGTCTTTTTGTTCCTTCTGACATACAGTGTTGGATCCTGTCTAAAAAAGGAATTGCAGTTAAATGAGAAACCATCATTTTCCAGATTTAACCAGCATTGGAATGCTTACCAAGAATTGCTACCACCATGTCGTTCTTGAGGATTTCAATGGAACCTCGTGAGAGGAAGTAAAGTGCAGTCAGAACATCACCAGAATGGACGAGGGTGTCTCCTGGAGGTGCGTGTGTTGTCTTAAACTTCATAGCCAAAGCCCGAAGACAACCTTTACTGGCCCCCCGGAAAGCTTTGCAGTTTTGAAGTAAACTTTGGTTGAGGTGGAGACAGATATCAGCTTGTAAGCACTCTGGAAACCCCTTTAGGACCTGATGAAGGCAAGGTGAGAGTTTAATACAAATTGGCCTGCACTTCTGGAGATCCCATTTTGCTCAGGGGAGAGGCACTTAGGTTAAATAAAACATAAAGGTGAATTACTGTGCAGCTTGATGCATATACTGCTAGCCTTTCAGGATGTCAAGATTAGTACTACTTTTATTAGATAAAGGTTGTCTGTGGCTAGTGGACTGCCTTGGTTAATACTCTAGTATAGCCCATAGTAGTCCAGTGGACTAGGCCCACAGACAAATGGGTTCCAATCCATCTCCAGATTTTGAGCTTTGCATCTCTTTTTCCTTGACTTGCTACTCTACATAACCTGTGTGTCATGGAGAATGAGAGAAACTCAGCTGGACTCAAATATCTTAGCAAAGAATATATGAAAGCAGAATTTTTTTCCAGGGTTTAAAACAAATCTAACAAACAGGATTTAACTATCAGCCAAGTCTGCTTATTCACAACTTTAAAAATATGTGTTGCTTACATATTTTCTTTTAGCTGGGCTGCTAAAACTTGTTTGTTCCTTGTGGCTTTTAAGCCATTTAAAATGAATAGGCTCCGCTCTTTTTTAAAGATAGTTTTCTTCCTGTTCTTAATGTTGCTGTTTGTGATATTTCAAATGTTTTTTAATTATAAGTCACATGGAAGTTGGGGACAGGCTTTGGGGGCTAAAAGTGACACAGAAGTAATTTTTATAAATAATACCTAGCCTCAATTTAACATATGCCAATGACATAGTACAAAAACTACCATTACAATCAAGCTTAGATACTTAGTTCTTTTTCCACTTCAGCACAATAAAGGTCTGTGCAACTTTTGAAAATCTCATAAAAGCAATGAGAATCTAATTTTCCAGCGTTAGCAACAATAACAACACCACAGATGATCATTATATTGATTTGACGTGAAAATACCACTTCACCAAAGCCAAACTATGACTGAAGGAATGAACTTAAACAAATATTTGATATGCTTCTGTGATCTGGAAGTGAACGATAGAATTGGTGCTGTGAAAGAAGAGCGGACATCCTTCTAACCAGACAGTCACACAAAAAAGCCGAACCATTCGGAGGCTCGAGATCCGGGGTGCCATTTCAGGGAGGGCCAGATTTCTCAGCTTGTTTCTATTGATTCACGATTGATGCTGTTATTTTTTAGAAGAGGACTTAAGAATATATACATGCTTGTCATGGTTACTCAGCACTGGCTTGGATCTAGAATTCCATGAATGGAAAAGTTCCCTTACACGTGTAGAAGAGACTCTGGTCAACCAACAGATCTTTCTGGAGCAAGGGATGTGACCTGCTCTTGCTCATCTGTTCTGCCCAGTTCAGCCCCCAGCATCAGCCTCCAGGTGCATTTGGGGCTGCAGGAGGAATGGAAGAATTGCAAATAATCTCTCTGCTCTCCTACGTACAGAAACATCCAGATAGTAGAGTTCTACTATAGGCAATTTGGATACAGCCCATTAACTAAAAGCATGCTAGAGTGTTTTCACAAAGAAGCAAAGCTTTTCGCACTCGTGCCCAGTTTGCAGGTCCATTAAATTATTTGTAACATAGCACACCATGTGTAGAGCCAGGCCAAAACAAACATTTCTTTAATTCTGTCAACAGCTATATCTTTGTGGAGTTTTTTGTTTGTTACTGTATTGTAGATTCAGGGTGCTGGTTTGAATTAGGAGGGTAGGAAAGTTTTTCTGAACTGGATTGAGATGTCTGTACTTTCTCTGGAATAAAAATAGGGGGAGAAGGGAAAGTTGTATCTGATTGAAATGGATTTTAAATTACATTTGATTTGGTCCCCAGTAGAGGAGCTCCTGAGAAGTAACAAAATGTGGCTTCAGGCACAGTAGAAAAAATAAAGCCCCTCCTCTTTAAACGGCACTCCTGGTCAGGTCACTGCTACATAAAGTTTCGTATTTTAGGAAAAGCCAGCAAAAGATCCAAATGAAAAGCATTTCATAGGACAGAAAAAGTCAATTATACCTAAGAAAACAACAACCATAGCAATATGGTCCTCTTCATTTCAACAATTTTTCTGGACAGTTATTAACAGTCCAATACTAGGATGCACCAATAAGTAGCTTATCAGGTTTATTCACTGCTCTGTCAGTACAGCACAAACATGGGATGTGAATGTTTAGAATTAATATGTAAGAAACTCTCTTTCAAGACTGTTTATTCTGTATGCAGTTCTGTGGGAGCAGGCCAGATCCAAGGCCGTTTTACTCCCAAGAGCTGTGGACTTCCATGGAACCCACTTCCTTGTCACTGTGCTTTGGACAGGATCCCAAGCGGAATGTCCTCAGGGCACGTGGGGTCAGCCATATGCATAACAGGTTGGAAATATTGTAGAGGGAACTTCTGTCTCACAAAGAGACCTACTTTGGAACAAGCATTAGCATCTGACTTTCATTCATGTCCTCTCTTACCAGAAAAATAAAGAAATCTGTCTCTTAGTGTATCTGAGTTGTTATCAGTCCAGCCGCAATACATCTTTTGAATATGTGTATTTGTATTTCCTTGGAAGCTTGGGCCTCCACAATGGATTGCTATGGTTTTGCACCTTTTCTTGATGGCAAGGTAACACTGATATCAGTAATTAAGGTTGCAGTTCTCATCACATTTACTGAGAACTGAGTCTTGCTTCTGAGAAAACATGCACAGGACCGCCCCCTAAGAGAGGGCAATGTACAGAAGGCACCAAGCATTGGCTGGTGGAGCACAGCAGCTGCATATGGAAGGTGGTAAATGGTTCCAGTGATAAAACTGGGGCTGTGCATAGACACAGTAAGGAAACTGGATGCCAGACTGTCAAGTATATTACAGGCTCAGATTGCTTGAGATTTTATTTAACAGGAAAACAAAGCTAGACACACTGCAGGCAGGCTCCAGCCAAAGTTAAGGTCCTTTAACTACACAATCCAAAGTGTATTTATTCAGACACAATGGTGCTTACTCCCAAGCATGTGTGCATGAGACTGTAGCCTTGGTCCAAGTCATTTTGTGGAAGACAGTTATTTATTTTATTTTCTTATACTAAAAATTATATTCTGTGTTCCCCCACCAAAACAGCACTGATATGGTCAGGTTTCTGTTAGAAACATCCCATCCCCAGAGGGTCAGCCATATCACTCTACTGCAGCAAAACCAGCAAATTTTCTTGTGACCTGTTAAAAATGAAAATTTCATGGCCGACAGTCCACTTCATCCTGAATGCTATCCTGAGTTCTAAGTCTATATAGATACATATGGAGGAGGTGGATGAATGTGAACAGTTAGGTCAGGGGGAATTTTAAAAAAAATATATTGCCTCTATTTGGTCATGATAGATGGCATTGAAACTTAAAACTCAGAAAGCTTAAAGCTTTAATCCAAGAATTACTTACCTGAGAGTAAACCCTATTGAAATTAATGGGACCTGCTCCTGAGTAGACATGTGTAGGATTGCAATGTAAAAGTATTATCAAAATAGAAAGCTACTATGCGTCAAAGCTAATGATGTATTATTACTTAAGCAACTAGAGAATGAAAGAAATTTTTTAAAAAATTCAGTGAGCAGCAGAACACACACGGTGAGGAGAAGACCTTGATATGGTGCCCTGCCACAGGGAATGTCTCCTTGTGTGTTGCCCAAACTGTACCTCAAAAGGCTGTGGCCTGAAATCAGTAGAATGGAGTGTGCCACTTTGGTTGGTTGCACATATACCTGATGATCCTATCCATGTTGCATCAGAAAAAGTTGCATGCATTCAAGTGCCTTTGCATTTTTTTTAAAAGGCAAGAATATCTCAAATCACTGCTTGTGGTTCATTACTATTTATACTTGAATCACAGCCAAGTACTCCCAAGTCATGTATGGTGAGATAGTCCAAGACGATCTATATTCTAAGGTTGCAATCCTATGGATACCTCTCTAGGACTAAGTCTCACTGAACTTAGTGGGACTTATTTCTGAGTAGAGATGTAGAGGGTCATGCTCCAAGACAGTGACCACACAGGACAGAATCAAGGCATTTATCATGTAGAATAAGATTTCCCTCCTTGCAAATATACTCACCTTTGTAGAAGCCAGTTCCATAGGAATCCACTAAAATCCCAAACTCCTGAATTTGGAGCACCCAGGAGTAGTCCCACTGGCTTCAAGGGGACCACCAGGCTCAATGTGTCTGAGCTTCAGTTTGCCACCTGTCTGCCCATGGTGGCTGGGGCAGATGTTTAATTCAAAACATCTGGAAGGCACCTTTTGGGGGAATGCCGGTTCCTACTCCTTAAGATTAATTGTAATTGTAAGGGAGGAAAAATTATTTACCCCACATTGCACACTTGGATTGGGTGTGCAAATCAGCTGGTTAAAACATGCTAAAGGCAAATGAGTTGCCATTAAGTTATTTCTGAAGATGCTCTCACAGATTGGGGGCATTTTATTACTTGGAATAAGTTTTGGTGAAGTTTTCTGGTAGTAATATAAAGAATAAGTTTAACTTTTCTAGGCCAGCACTCTCAGTCTATTCCCCCCCTCCTGCCAGCCCCCACTTTCCTGGCAAAGACAGCTAATGTTAGATACGCTTAGTCATTAAAAAATAGGTGACTATTGTAATCATTGGAATGGTTCACTATTTCATACTGTCCGGAGGCAAACACTTTTTACTGTGCTGCAGGCATAACTGGGATCACTTCCAGCTTCGGGAATACATATATTTTCAGATCCATTCTGAAATATCTCAGATTTCTACATAATGGAGGTATTTAAGAAAATCCAACTCTGTGTGCCCATAATGAATGCAGAACATTGAAACTTCCTCCCTCCCTTAGAAAACTCCCATTCTGAATGTCTGTGATGGGCAACAATTTAAGGAAGAAAATCTTATTAAGACAATTCTCATGCACCTCCCAAATCAGCCCAAGACCTGCATTCCACACCAATCCACGCCCCCAACCCCCGGCTTCAGGCAATGACCAGATGTACTTTTTACAAGGTCCATCTT